ATGGTAGTGGGGTGGAGGAAGCATTTAAGAACTAGAGGAAAATTGCATATTTCATCGTTACTACACTGCACTCTGATTTGCTCCTCTCCTCCCCACAGCCCTTCTGCAAGGGATGTCCAATTTCCCCTGGATGGGCCCGGGGTCCCCACTCTGCACTCCCCCTCATTCACAATGTTATGATTTTTTTTCTTTTTGGTCTTTGATGTCTGATACCTGACCCCTTTTGAAATGTTTTTATCACATTTAAAATATGTTTTTATTTGTTGTTCATATACATTTTTATATTTCTGTGGATATGTTAATATTTTATGATACCCTCTTTATTAATATTCATTGAGTATTTATTTATTCAGCATCTATGTTCTATGTATGACAGGAATCATCAGTCTGAGCATAAAAAAGTGAATAAACTCAGAGGTGTTTTGCCTTATGGTATGTATGTTCTAATGTAGGTTATAGAGTAATACGTAGACAGATTCAACATTGTGTAGTTCAATCAATCAGACATGCTGGAAGTTAGGGAAGTTAGTAAGGATATAAAACTCAGACACAGAGGTAGGTGTATGTATGCTTCATGAATGTTTCCAACAGGAAGCGGCTTCTAAGATAAATGTGCACAATTAGGTGTTATCCACTTGTACTAGTGTATGTGGGGCAGTAGAGTATATTTAGGGCAAAAAGAATAGCATGAAGACAGAGGCAAAGGCAATGGGATGATGATCTGCAAAACTATGCACTGAATATTCATGACAATATTTGATAATTTCTGAATCATATTGCATCACCTTCCTTTGGAATGGATACACATATGAATCGCTTTACTGAGTTGATTAGCATAGACTAGTGAGTGCCTCTAATGCTGTAGTGGTTTTCTGAAATATTTCCATTTATATTTCATTGATTTCTGGGGCCTTGGTTTTACAAATAACTTCAGTGCTGCTTAGACTTCTTTCTTTGATATTTTTGGATCTTGATCACAGGGCACATTTTTAAATAGTTTCACACGAACCAGATCTTTTTGGTACAGTGACTCTGCATATTCACGGCATCTTCTTTTGAAGTTTTCTGCATTGTTCAATAATTCGCCCATAGAATCATTAACTATTGCAGCTCAAGGCTGTACAACCCCCCCCCACCCCCTACCCCCACCCCCCGTTGCTTTCAGCTGGAGACAAACTCCATGTGTTCTTTTTTGGGGGGTTTTCTTGCACATTTCCTTATAATGCTTTAATTTGTCTTCTGGGGATACCCTGGGGATTTTCTGTTGAGCTCCATTCCTTCATCATTTCTTCCTTTTGTTTAAGCTATTGTTAATTGAGATAAACTTTTAGAGTATCTTCCGGCACCGACTTTAGTCTTTTCTTACTGTCTAGTCTTTCAGTGACCTTTTGCTTTCTTCATGTATGGTGTTCTTAACGTCATTCTACAACTCCTCTGGTCAATTAGGTTCATGTTCGATGTGTCAAATATGTTCATGATATGCTCTAGAAATTCAGATGGGATATACTTGTGGCTTGTGTGGATTTATTCTCATATTCAGATTCAACCCAACATTGCCTATAAGCAACTGATAGCCTTTCCATAGTCAGCTCCTGACCTCCCAAATGAACTGTGATTCTCTACAACCTCTTCCCAAAGATGTAGTCAGTTTGATTCCTACATGTCCCATTGGTGAGGGCAACATGTTGACTGTTGTAAGGTGACTTTGAGTCAGTTCTGACTCATAGCAACCATATGGACAACAGACAAACACTTACACGTCCGATGCCATGATCACAGTTGTGGTTGTATTTGAGCACAGCGTTGCAGCCACTGGCAATCCATCTCATCGAGGGTCCAGTCTTTTTTGCTATCCTACTTTACCAAACATCCATCTGGTGAGTCCTTTGTGTTGTAAAATTATATCATGCAATCTCCAACTTCTTTTACACACCAAGGCTATCTGTTCCAACTACTGTTACTCCTTCTTAGGAGCCTTATTGGCATAGTGGGTTCTAAGTTGGGCTGCCAATTTCAAGGGCAGGAGTTGAAACCACCAGCTGCTTGGTGGGGAAAGACCAGGGTTCTTACTCCACCAAGAGTTAAGTGTTGGAAACCTACAGAGGCAGTTCGACTGTCTTCTCGGGTCCCTGTGATTCAGCATTGACTCTGAGTTTTTGTTTGTTTGTTGTTAGTCCCTTCCTCTCTTTTTTTCACTTTTCATTCAAATCATCAGAACATTTTCAATATACTCTGATTGCATGTTTGATCAATTTCAAACTAAAGAATTTGGTGGAAATGTTCAACTTCCTCAGCACCAGCTTTACTGGTTATTGTATAAATTTATGTAATATTTGTGTCAGCTGGATATGTTTGCAGGCACATAGATAGTATTCTAGCTGAGCAAACACCTTTCTCCTGAGGAGACATTGACATTATTGAACTGCTAATCATGTGGAGAAAGGTGGTACTTTCTACTCCTATAAAGAGTTACAGTTTGGAAACTCACAAGGGCAGTTCCACCCTCTCCTAGAGGATTGCTACGGATTGGAAGTCGCAGCACAGGGTTTTTGAGTTTTCTAATCTGAAGGGCTCATCTTCTGGCACTTTATCTAACAAGGCTCATACAGTTGTCAGTGGCTTCAAGACTGATCTTAAAATGTTGTTTTGGACAATGTATGTGATGCTAATCCTTTAGGTAGGGACAGAATCTTTCTTCTCCTAAGTCTGCTCTGACTCTGGGAGCTTTACTTAGCCCTGTTGGCTGCAGATGCCACTGTTAGCATTTGAAATACTGGTGACAGAGCCTCTGGCATCCCTGCAACATGCAAGTCACCAGAGAATGCCAACCGGACAGATGACTGGTGGCCTTAGCTCTTAGGGAAATGTAAATAAAACAATAATGGGAAGCTTTGTCCCCATTAGCATGCCAATACTAAAATTAACAAACATTAACTTTTGGCATTGGTGAGATTGGGAAGAAACTGAGACCTGCGACACACCCGTTGCTGTTGGCCATGTAGAGGGGTAAAAATACTGTGGAACACTGTTCATTAATTTCTCTGAATGATGAACATAAAACTACCATAATGCCCAACACTCACATTCGTAGAAGTGAAAGTAGGATGCAAATGGAAACTTCCACAACATTGAACATGACAGTGTTTTTCACAATAGCCCAAATGTGGAAACAGCCCAACTGTCCATTAACAGATGAATGGATAAACAAAATCTGGCCTATCTAGACAATGGAATATTAATAGCCATATAAAGAAGTGAAGTCCTAATGCATGCCAAGGAATCTTGGAAACATTATATTGAGCAAAATGAATCTGTTGCAAAAGAACAAACATTTATGTGTTCATATCATTTATATGAAACAAGCAAATATATGTAAAACAAAGATTATCAGTAGTTGTTTCAGCTGAACATGTAAGGAAAAGCCGGGTCGGGGGCTATTGCTGAGAGGAAAAAAACTAGTTTATGTCATTGGTGGTTGAGTAATTTGGGAAAACAATAGAAAGTACGGTTGCTAAATTTGAAGAATATAATCAACATCACTGAATTATACATGTATAATTTGCAGCAAAGGATGTGTTTTGTTGCATAAATTAAAAAGCAAACAAACATCTGACTTAATTGGGGGATTTGTCTTTAATTTTTCTTTCTGCTAACTCTAAGTTTCTATAGTTCTGAAGATTACAGACAAGGAAGATTTCTTGACAGAGACTAAATAAATTGTCTGCCAGTATAAAATTGGCATTGCTTACATTTTAAACACGTTTTTAAGTTTAACTATTTGAAATTGAGGATTTCCAAAATAGTGCAATCTACCCCAAAAACAACCTCATGTGATTCAGATGAATACAACTGTCTGTCCAACCTTGAAGCATCCAATAATTCTAGAATGAATTCAACTTGTGGGGTGGCATCGTTTCACTGACTGGTGCTAACCATAGTTGTATTGATCCTCATAAATTAGTTCATTTAACAGTTGCATATTTATTGTCA